ACAAATGGATTCCCATGGGCTTGGGGAGGGAAGCCTGTAGCCCCGTAGACAGACCTAGAGATCACTGAGAAATATAGACATATAGCTCTTCAGAGTCCCACAGCATGCTCTCGGCATTTATACACAGAGGTCTCCCAAGCCCCAGATTTGAGGATATGAAGCATTTGGAATACCTGACTGTCTTCTAAATTACATTTCCCACCAACTAGCATGTGCTTTCCACACATGCCCACATACTCCAAGTGTTTCACCTTCCCAACTTCATGGAAGCTTTTCCTCTCACTTCCCCAAAGACACGATGACCTGTCACTACCCAGGAGTCACCTGCACCTGTAGAGAGTGGAAACAACAGAGCCAGAGCAAAGTGTGGAGCGGGGCCTCGGGCCAGGCTCACTCACCTGATGACGGCTCCTCCCCACTCACTGGCCAATAGCAGAGGTGCTCCAGATTCAATCTGTGCGCATGTCAGCAGCTTGGAGGTTGCCCCCAAAGTGTTACGAACTTAAACGATTTCATCTGCGAACAACAAGGGCAGCTCCACCTCCCCAAAGCCTCAATGAACCTGGTCTTGTCAGCAAGGGAGCTCTCCCTCACGAGTGAACTTTTCAGAGCCGAGGCCCTTAATATGCCTAAATTTGTCAAGTTTCAACCAGTTGAGATGATCTTCCTATGGCTCATTTGTGTTCTCATTCTTAAAGCATTCTATAGTAATGGTAATGATGCTCTATCGCCACGATTTCAAGTCACAGGGATGACATGATGCTTGCCCTAACAGATCAAGGGGATAGTGCACCGTTTAAACTCAGAAAAGGTGTGTGTGTGTCAGGGTTGTATCTGTCCACTGTTCTGACCAGTCTTCAGGCTGAGCAAATAATCCGAAGCTGGACTCTCTGAAGCAGAGCGTGGCATCAGGGTTGGAGGAAGGCTTATGAACAACCTTCAATATGCAGATGACACAACTTTGAAGCACTTGCTTTGATAAAGGTCAAAGACTGCAGCCTTCAGTACAGCTGACATTACACCCTAACATAAAGAAGACAAAATCTCAACCAAGAGACCTCACGATAAATAGAGAAAAGGCTGAAGTTGATGAGAATTTCAATTGACTTGGATCCATGATCAACACAGCTGTTAAGCCATCAAATGATGTATTGCACTGGGGGAATAAGGCGCTTCCCCGTGCATAAGGACAATGACTAAGAAGGACTTAAAAAAGAGAGAGATGCCTTTGACTTATGTTGCGAGGGGGAAATACTGTATATCTCGTGGGCTGCCAGAGGGAAGCACAAAGCTGTTTGGAAGCAGTACAGCCAGGTTGCTCCCTAGAAGAGAAGATGACAAGGCATTGTCTCGTGTATTTTGGACATGTTACTCCGGTCTGTGGAGAAGGCCACCAGGTGTGGTAGTCAGTGAGAGAGAGGAAGCCTCTCACTTGACCCAGGGGCCGCAACAATGGGCTCAGAGGGAGCAGCCACCCTGAGTCGGGGGCAGGGCCGGCAGGGCTTCATTCTGTTGAGCAGGGAACCCCGTTGAGTTGCAACCCACTGCACCCACAGCGGCACGAAGGTGGTCCCCGGACTTCTGGAGGATGCAAAACTCTTGAGAGACTCTTAACGTAGGAAATGACCTGAAAATAATTGGCACAATTTGGTGTTGTGTTTAAAAAACAGACATTCTAACTAGATTTTAGTATAGCCCATGGAAACGAGTTGTAGATGCTATGGAAACAAGGAGCCATTTCTCTGACCACCAGGTCTGCTTGTTTCTTTGGCATTTTCTTTTCATGTTTCAGACCCTAGTGACGGAGCTCACGTTCCATGTCACGCGTGGGGCCAGGCATCTTGCCTCTCTCGGCCCTTCCCATTCCAAACGCCAATTCAAATGCCCCTGGGCCAGGAAGAGGGCAGACTGCAGACTCTGATCAGACAGGTCACCAAGAATGACTGCAAGTGTAGCATGCGATACAGCGGACTTAGCCAGCCATGCCCAAGGGAATCTCTTGACATAAGAGAGGTCAAAGTCAAGAAGCCAAATGCCAGGAAGGAGAGGAAATCTCATTCATTTGCCAACCTCTCTGTGATTTGCAATGGCTCTCTAAGGAAAAAAAAAAAGTATAAACCGGTCGACTGTCTTGAATTTGCAGCCCTTAGTAACGAATACATCGTTGAACAATAACATTTGATAGGGCTTGGCATCACTAGTGGGGTATTGTTAATGCCTGCATCCTCCGCCATCTGTAAATGAGTGAAATAAGAATCGCGAGGACTCTGGAAAGGAAAGCAAAACAGAACCAGTGTTTTTGACATGACTCAGCTGATGTCCTGGGGAATCTTTTCCAGGAAGGCTGCCGCAAACTAAGCAATTATGCCAGCAAAGCCCAGGGCAGAATTCTTCAGAAAGCGATTTTAGAAAAGCTGAACTTTGCCACGATTTGATTGTCTAAATACAGGCCTGGGAAGCTTCCGCCGAGGCCCTGCCTACTGTGGGAGTCAGGAGACCTCGTTTCTGGTCGCAGTCCTGCCCATGCTCTGCCATGTCTCCCTGCCCAAGCTGGTGCTTAGAGCTCTGGTGGCATAGTGGGTCATGCATTGAGCTGCTAACTACAAGGTCAGCGGATTGAACCCACCAGCTGCTCCCAGGGAGAGCGATGAGGCTGTCTGCTCCTATGAAGG